ACTATGTTCTTACAGATGCTGGTGGAGAAAGTATGTGGCCTGTCAGACGGCGGCCCCTTCAGCAGCTGAATCAGAAGAGGAGGAGGCGTGGGAATCCGGGTCGGCATCAAGGCAACCTGAGACCTCGAAGGGGGAAGGGAGAATGGGGCAGAGACAGTGACAGAGCCTGGGCCATCCATCAGCCGTCAGATGGAGAGTCAACACCCTTAGGTCTGGAGGTAGCTGATGAGGAAGCAGAGGAACAGCTGGTTCCAGTGTCTGACACGTGGATGAGCAGAAGGCAGAGGAGAGGAGAGCAGTGGAAATCTATGGGCCGGTCCTTGGGATGGAAGAGCCACTGCTGCTAGCAAAGCCCCATCCTAGCTCTGGGGATAAAAGGGGAGATGGAGATGAATAGGTGTGGCAGACAAGGTGTGGTGCTACTAAGCACCTCCTAAAAGAAACTTTCCCTTGAGAATGTAAGTCAGAAGAACGACGACCAAAGGCTCTGTGCCCAAGGTCTTAACATCCAACGCAGAAGTACCTCTTCTTCCATCCATTTCTCACCTTAACCTGGAGATTGCGCAAACAGATGACAGCTTCCTGATACTTCTCTGCTGCTTCCTTGAATTTCCTGGACAAGACCAGCCGGTTGCCCTCCGTGTGTAATTTTGGCACAGCAGCCAACTTCTCATCGTTGCTCATGGCCCATGTGTCTCTTTTGTAGGAATAAGGGTCCTCCACCTTGAGGAACCAGGAAAGCAACGGGGGAGATGTAAATTCTGCTTATCCAATTTACAACCCACTGTGTTCTTCAACTGCCTGTCAGAGCAAGCTAAGCTGATAGAACAGCAAACCAATCCATTTTGAAATGTAAATCACCAGGGAAGCTACTTAAAATCAAGGTAAGGATGTAAGAAGAGATGTTATGGAATCCAGCATAGGGAAAATTAACAGATTAATTAACACAATTGGAAGGGACCTTGTAGGTCATTGATCCACCCCCCAACCCAAGTAGGAGAACCTACACCATTTCTGAAAGATGGCAGTCCAGTCTCTTCTTGAAAGCTTCCAGTGATGAAGCTCCCACAACTTCTGAAGGCAACTTATGTTCCATTGGCTGAATGTTCTCACTGTCAGAAAATGTCTCCTTGTTTTTAGATTGAACCTCTCCTTGATCAGTTTCCATCCATTATCCTTTGCCTAGCCTTCAGGTGCTTTGGGGAATCGCTTGACCCCCCTCCTCTCTATGATACCTCCTCAAATATTGGAACAGGGCTATCATGTCTCCCTTGGTCCTTCTCTTCACTAGACTAGCCATGCCCACTTTCACAGATTATTACATATGAAGGTCCACACACCTTAAGGTTGCCCAGGTGGAGAAACACTAATGCGGAAGAGCTCAAAATACCTTTCGGAAGTGAACTCACTTTGAATAGCTCCATGATGAAGATGAGGGGCTGAGGTGTCCTCTGTAGTTCGTCCAGATCTTCGTAGCCGGTGCTGTGATAGTCAAACATGTTGCCCATTCCGCAGTGGTGATGCAGTCTGTGGAGAGGATCTTTGCCCTCCGCAATTTCCCTCAGGCCCTTGGAGACCAAAGCATACATTCCTGTATGCTGAAAACACAGACGGGGTGACAGATTAGATCAAATTCCTCACAGATAGTAAAGAAGCAGAAGATACAATAAAGGAGGAACATCGGAAGGGAGGTGACCTCAGACAGCAGCAGAAAAAGAAAGCTCTCTTCTAAATTTGTGGGGAGTTTAAGGTTTGAAAGAAAGCGGGAGGACCATGGATTCACTAACCCTTTCCTTCAACCCTACCACCTCCAACAATCCTTAGATGACAAAGGAATTCTTTGCCTGTATTCATTCTTATTCTGAAGATCGCAGTCTAATCCCTCAAGCGTCAGATGTTATTTATTATTTATATTATATATGTATTACATCCCGCACCAGTTGCATTCAGGCCTTTGGTGGGTCACCACATAAAAAGCAATCGCAATTAAAATGAAATATATAAGAACCGACGGACAAAGATGGACAATACACGGGGCACAACAATAAATCTTGACTCTCCACAGGAGCTCATCACAGGAGTTTTATGGATATGACACAGCTACAGAAGACGTTTATTGCAGATAAGAAAGAGTCATGCAGAACACATAAATTGAATTGTATACATATGCCTGCTCTAGGGCTTTATCCCCGGATAAGATTCGTGCTAGATCAATTCTCGAATACAGCTCATCTGCCTGGAATCCACACTGTATAGTGGACAATAATACAATTGAACGAGTCCAGAGGTATTTCACAAGAAGAGCACTCCACTCCTCAGCTCTCAAAAGAAAACCTTGTGCAGGTTGGAAATTTTGGATCTAGACAACTTAGAACTATACCGCCCACGGTCTGACTTAAGCTTAGTACACAAAATTGTCTGCTACAATGTCCTCAATGACTACTTCGGCTTCAACCGCAATAACACACGGGCAAACAATAGATACAAACTCAAAAGTACACCGCTCCAAACTCGATAGCAGAAAATACGACTTCAACAACAGACTGGTCAACGCCTGGAACTTACTACTTGACTCTGTTGTTACATCCTCAAACCCCCCCAAAACTTGAACTGGGCTGACGGTCAGCTGACCAGCTCAGTGTCTTTAGCCATTGAGCCATTGTATCCCTCCCCCTTTTTACCTGAAGATACTCCTGGTCACCGTATCTCCAGGTAGCCCTGTCCATTCAAACCTAAGCTTCATCTTAGTAACACTCACTATAGCGTCGCACCAGAATTCGGCCACCTCGTTGATTCTCATGGAGGTCAGCAACGTCTCCCACACCTCGATTTTGAACATCTTCCCCACGATGATCTCCATGGGAACCCCGCTATTCCGGCTGTCATCGATCACTGTCCGCTCAAAATCGTCTTTCAGGGTCTGGAAGTGGAAGGTAATCTGCATCGGAGGAAGATTCCAGTGACTCCTGGTGAAGGGGGGAATCTGCCTGGCTTTAAATATAGATCTTTGTTTCCAATGTTTAGCAGATTTTTCTTGCTAGATGGAATCTTGATCGTAACTTATTCTCCATTCTGCAGCAATGAGTGGATGGCCTCGGCCCGTAAACACACAACATGTAACAGTCTTAATCCATCCTGAGCGGTGATGGGATTCAAAAATTTTAATTACCGGTTCTGTGGGTATGGCTTGGTGTTCGTGGCAGGGGAAGGATACTGTAAAATCTCAATTTTCTCCCCCACCCCACTAACCTGCTTTCCAGCTCCGTTCTCCTGTGCAGGGCAACCAAAGGAGACCCAGCCAATCAGCTGGGACTCAATGGGAGGCTGAGACTAGATGGGAGCGGGGCCAGTCAGAGGTGGGATTTGCCAGTTCTCCAAACTATTCAAAATTTCCGCTACCGGTTCTCCAGAACTGGTCGGAACCTGCTGAATAGTATATATGTGTGTGTCATTTTTTTAGTTTAATGATTCTGCCTTGTTGGAGTCAGTCTCCAAGTTTAGGAGTCACAGCATTGAGTTCTGGGTCTACCGCTGGGTCTACGGATAAGAGAACCTGGAATTGATGTCTGTTCGTCTGCCTGGCTGTGTGTGTCTGTCCGTCTATCATTTATCTAGGTATCTGAGGACTCAGATAGTTGGAGGCCATAGGCTGACTCTGTAAACCACTTAGAGAGGGCTGTAAAGCACTGTGAATTGGTACACAAGTCTAAGTGCTATTGCTATCTCTAGTCTATGCAAGCATTGTTTTCCTTAAAATAATTTGTGTAAACTTCAAAGCTAAACAGAAAGAAATGTTAAGAGAAATGAGGAAAAAGACATAGAAGAAAAACAGGAAAGGTAGAAACCCTAAAGGTTTTTTTAAAAAACAACAATCTAGATTGAGAAAAAATAAAGAATATTTCCAGAGAGGAATTCCACTGCAAACGGTGCATTCCAAACAAATGGGCTGCTCTCAAAAAAACAAAACAAAACCCAACTCTGTTGCTATTATGGCTTAAACTCAACATTGCTAGTTAGTGCAGGAAGACATTTACCTTGCTCCCATCCTGAAAATGAGGCAGTTTCCCATAACCTCCATGCAAAATCTTCTTCTTGACTCCTTCCACGTTTAGGAGGTAGGTTTCTTCCATAACTATGTGGTAAATTTTTTGCGTTCTCCTTTCCTTCAAATCTGGGCGAAGGCAATTCTTCTCTTTACACAACAGGACCCTCCAACCTACCTAATTTTCAAATATTTATTACCTGCGTGCCGCAACTGATGTCCAAATGGTTGCAACTGATTCTAGACAACTATCTAGAAGCTCCTCACAAGCGTGAAGGACTCACTTTCAGAGGCTGAGAACATCTCTTCAAGGGCTCAGAAGTTTTAACGTTCGCTAATCTCCTTTCAGCCAGGTTAATGCAGGATTTGCCCTCTTAAAATTTTAAAATTAGATCGAGCTAAAAACAAAAGGTGTGTCATGCCCCTGTCGGAGCCTGAATCCAAGGAGAAAGATGAAAAGCTGACAGGGAGATTGTGGCTCCGTTAACCCTAACCTGTATGTTGAGCCATACATTTGTATTAGACAGGGCAAAAAATTTCCTATGATGGAACATCTTAGACAAACTAATTCTAATTCTTCCTCCCCTTTCATTGTACTTTTAGGCTATTCTGATTTTTCCATATTTTGTAGCTATATTTAAGCGTAAACTTTGTACATTCTAATTCTCATGTGAACAAATCCTTTTCGAGAGATTGGCAATCACCAAACAGGTGCCCTAACACAAGGACTCTTATCGGAAACAGAATTCTCAGGAATAAAAATACCTTGTTTTCTCTCCCCCCCCTCCCCCGATTGTAAAAATTTTGCTAAGGAAATTTTTTTTGCCACTATCAATTTTTGAAATTGGAGCAGTTGTGAGAATGATTGCTAAGGTTTTTGGGCCATTATATCCAATGTACTTGAAGAGCCTCAGATAACCTGTGAAATATACTCAAAATAACATACAGCATATGCGGAAAACTTTGTTTTTATTTCACAACCCTCCTGAAGACAAAAAGAAGAATGTGTAAAGGGGAATGTTAGGGGGATTTGTCTCACACCATCAGTATTTACAAATATGCAGAGTGTTATCATCCCTCATGCCAGAAAGAATGGATTTCATGCTACTTAAAACATTGCAACACTGGCTCATCAGAAAACAAACAAGATGCAAAGCTGGAAAAGAACCAAAGATTGTCCCGAAGTGAATTGTGCTCTCAGCAACGAACACAGTTTTTGTGGCCATCTTCCAGGAAATTCTATTCTTTCCGAAACATTCACGTTTTCTGCAATGTTCTACGTGTGGTATTTGTAAGCCACAACTCCTGGAGCCTGGCTAGATGTTTCTCTAGATTTCTGCAAGGAATTTGCTCATCGGCTCAGAAGTTATGTGGAGTCTCCCCTGAAGAATCTGCAGGCCACGGCACCCAAAAAAAGGAACTTCTTTGTCAACCTCTGAGTTTCTCGGGAGTTTATCGGTTCATTTTTCTATCAGCGCTTCTAGCTGCTCTTGAAGAGACGCCAGCTGCAGGGCAAGAAGGAAAAAGGGGAGGACAAAAGATTGTTAAATGATCAGTCCCATCCTTCTTCAAATGAAGACCCAAGGATCTTTATCAAACAAGAGGAAAGGATTCTCCTGCAGGTTGGGAATAATAGGAAAGACTGTCTGCCTACAGAGAGAGAGATCGGGGATCAGCTTCCCCTAGGAAGTATCTTTCCGAGGAAGTAACTTTCTAGGGGAAGTAACTTCCCCTAGGAAGTAACTTTCCTATTATTCCCAACCTGTAGGAGAATCTTTTCCTCTCGTTTTATAAAGAGTCTTCTCACTAGATTCATAGTTTCATCCCAAATGGGCCTGGGTGGGAGGACACAGAATGGAAGGTTTTTTTCTGTGCAGAGATTTGGGGAACGTAGCAATGAAGAAGGGAAATGTCAAGGCATCGGTGTCCAAATTGAACAGCCTTCCTTCAACAAAGTGGGAGGGATAGGACATTATCTGTCTACAGCCTGCAAACCAGCCCTTTCAGCAGTTCCAAGAAGGCTCCATTTGCACCACACAGGTGACCCTGAGGACACAGACAAACCTCCAAGTGGCCTCAATGACTCGCTAAAAGGATGCAAATGACCAGCTGTCTGCAAGGAATATAAATCCTTCCATTCCCCGTCCCATCAGAGCTGAAGAAGCTTCTTGCGAAATGTCTTCAGAGAATAAGAAAGTCCAGTTGCCTCTCGGAAAAGCACCTTTGAGACAACCATGACCCGGATGATTGAGAATCTCCACAGGAAATCTCCTCGTGGACTTCTCAGCCATCGTCACAGCTAGTCTGAACTGCTAAAAACAACAACTCAGGAGCAATTGCCTTTGTAAATTGCCTAATTCACAAAACAGGGTCTCCGCAATATCTTAATTTTTTTAAAAAAAGGATGTATTCTAAAAGGGTTTTATATATATAGCAAGCAAATGACCCCCTAAATCCCAGCCAGCTCAGCCAAGCAACACTCGCTTGTAACTATGAAGTTGCTCTGATGATTCGCCACTCATACGTGCAAAATGGATGGAAGTTTCAAGCAGTTCAGAGCTAGTAACTTATAAGTCAAAGGCTCGGTAACCGCTTAGTGCCCTGCAAATATTTTCCCAGGCTAGCCTACCGGGGAATGCGACACCTCTGTACTTCGAACGTGTATCCCAGGTAAAACTGCTGCACCGTGTGGATTCTAAAAGCCTTTTTTCTACTCAGAATTGATCAAAATGGCCAAAATCTTACCTGCTGCTTCTCTCGCTCTTCCTGTTGTTTGAACTCATCCAACACAGCTTGGAGGCGCGTCTAGAAATGAGACCGATAGGTTATCTATGAGTCTTGGTGGCGCAGTGGTTACAGTGCAGTACTGCAGGCTACTTCTGCTGCCTGCAATTTGGCCGTTCAAATCCCACCAGGCTCAAGGTTAACTCAGCCTTCCATCCTTCTGAGGTGGGTCAAATGAGGACCCAGCTTTTTGGGTGAGGACCCAGCTTTTTGGGGGGGTAAGAGGCTAACTCTATAAACCATTTAAGAGAGAGGGAGTGATGGCTAACCTTTTAGGGCTCCTGTGCCAAAAATTGTGCACGCGCTTGCACACTAGTGCCAGCACCCAGTAGGCAATGTGCACCCCCCATGCCTGCCTATGCATGTGCGTGCAATCCTCCTCCCTGCTGCCCCCTTACCTGCGCCTCACAGCTGATTTTCAGCCAGTTTGAGGCCTTTTTCAGCCTCCCCGAGGCTTGAGGAAGGCTTCTGCAGGCTTCTGCAAGCTTTGCTGGCCGAAAATTAGCCCCGTTTCGTCACTTCCGGTATTTTTGGAAAAACAGGAAGTGACAAAACGGGGCTACTTTTCGGCCTGCAAGGCCTGCGGAAGCCTTCCTCAAGCCTTTGGGAGGCTGAAAAAGGCCTCAAACCCGCCGAAAATCAGCTGTGAGGCCCACACATGAGCAGTGAGATAAGTTTGCCTGCAGCACGCACAAAGGGCTCTGCCAGAGGTTCGCCATCATGGGTCTAGGGGTTAAGGTGATGGCCTAGAAACCAGGAGACAGTGAGCTCTAGGCCTGTCTTAAGCACGAAAGCCAGCTGGGTAACTTTGTGCCAATCACCAGGAGCCGGGGAGTTCTAGTCTGCCTTAGGCATGAAAGATGGCTGGGTGGTCTTGGGTCAGCCCTCCCTCTCCTAGCACAACCCACTGCTCAAAAGGGTTGCTGTTCTGGGAAAAACAGGAAGAGGACGAAGTATTAGGGACCTTCGCTACCTGGAGTTTCTAGACAAGAATAAAGGTGGGATAAAAAAAAATCAATTAATTCCAGTGTCACCTTGAGTGCCAGGTTCTCCACTTTCATGATGAGGTCTTCTTGGCGTTTCCTGCGCTCCTGAGTCTCCTGCAGCTTGCCCTTCAAGTTGTCGATTTGCTTTTGGATTCCAATGGCTACAAAGAGAGAAATAATAAACCCAGGGCTGCCCCCAAGGACCGCCCCAAATCACCTCAGCCCCCGTAGCACAGCTTCCTTCCCCACCGATTTGGCTGGTTCCTTCGTTCTCTTGCTGCTGGGAGCTGGATTCGTTCAGCTTGCCCTGCAGCCTCCTCTCCAAGTCTTCCTCCGTATCCATCACGTTCAGATCTTCATCGTCGTGGTGATCCCTCTCGTCTTCGTCGCTGCTGCTGCTGCTGATTTCATTGAACATCTCCCGGAGTTCGTCACGTTCTGCTGGTTGGACAGAAAAGGTGTCATGCCTCCGTCGGAGTCTGAATCCGAGGAGGAAGACAAACAGCTGACAGGGAATGGGAGTGTGGCTCCGTTGGTTGTGGAGGAGGCTGGGGAAGGGCAATGTCCGGATGGGCAGAGCAGGGGACAGGTAGAACAAGGGAGAGGGAGTTCAGAGGAAGACCCAGGTCCACCCCCTCTTCATCCTAGGACACACAGGGAGAAACGGAGAAGAGAGCAACGTGGGTTGCGTGGCTTACGGGGGAGGAAAAGGCCCTGATTCCCTTCATTAGCCACACCTGGGAATGAAAGTTTAAAAGAAATGTATGCTGAGTGCAGCACGCTGTTGGGAGCAAACATGAGCTTGTTGTGTTGATTTTGCTTATCTGCTTTCTTGGCGTCTTCCCAACCGTGTTGAGTTATTGCTGTGCCTTCACATCTGGAATTCTTGCTCCTGCCCTGCCAAACTAATTACCTCATCTTGCCTTGATTGGACTTATAGTTAGTTTTTGTTGACTGTGTTTTGGACTTGAAGGTAACCAGGACACTGGGGGCAAAGTTGGTGCTAATAAGGAAACTCCTACTGATTAGCCGACTGTGTTGCCTTTGTGCCATACCCCGGGTCATCACAGAAGGAAAAAGGAGCCAGCCCATTCTCAGTGTACCCCATCGCGTCTTGCTGAGGAGGTGGCTAGTCTAGTCTCTACACCCCAATGCTCTCTTTCCTTAGACTCAGAGCCATTTGGTTAGGATTATCCTGAGCAAACTGCAAAACTCCAGGGTAGCAAGGGAGCAATAAAGAGCTGCAGGAAATACCAATGTTTTGTTAGGGATAGTACCAGAAAGGTATAATAAACGGAACTTGGGTTTAATATTGCACGTCTTGACAGCAGCAAGAATTGTATTTGCACAGTATTGGAAATACGAGGAAACTCCGAGAGAAGATGTAATTTAAAAAATATTAGATTGCACAGAAATGGATAGAGTGACATTGAAGATAAAAGAGAAGGAAGATACAGAATATTTTCAAATATGGGATTGGCTGGACAATAGAAGTAAAAATTAGGAGCTGGGAAAATATTATGTAATCAATTGACCTGGACAATATACTGTTCACAAAACACTCATATATGTTAATTGAAAATGTATAACTCAACTATATAAAAGAGATTAAGAACAATTTGGTTAGGACTATCCTGAGAAGCTGCAAAACTCCAGTGGATCACAAGTTAGCGATAGAGAGCTGGAAAGATTAACACTTTGTCACCACCTAGTGGCTTTTCAAGAATTGGCAACCCTGGGATAGAATCCTAAAATGTGACTGTACCTGAAGATCCATGGCCTTGCTTATGCCCGGTCATGCCAGGAGAAGAAATATCCAGGCCTGTAAGTAACCCATGATTCTCGGCTTCCTTTGTTTCATCTTCGGCAATCACTTCCCAGCCTGAATTCAGGCACGGTCAAATTAAGGAAAAGTCCATTTAATAGTATATCTAGTTAAGACATAACAACATTCTTTTTCTGATTCAAGGTCAAGTTGTGTTGCGCATAAGTGAGAGGAAGGCTTAACTTGGGACAGATGGCGATTGGGGCATGTGATGCGATGATGGGTGCAGGGGATGGATTTTGTAATTTTTACTTATTGTAAGGAAGTCTGGAACTTTCAAATTCGGGATTCCCCAGTTGTGCCAGTTACTATCCAAATAAAAAAGGAACTTTTGAGAGGATTTCTGTCTCCGAGTTATTGGCTGGAATGAAGGTTTGCTGGAATGCTGACAGCCCCCACCCACCCCACCCCCCACCTCCCCAAGGTTAAATACAACCCTGATGTGGCCCTCAACGAAATCGAGTTTGACACCCCCCCATACTTAACGATCGCATGATTCACTTAACAACTTCCGTGATCTGCTTAACAATGGTGGCAAAAAAACGGTTGGGAAGTGGGGGTCAAACTCACTGAACAACTGCCTTGCTTAGCGATGGAAATCCGGGGACTCAATTGGGGTCTTAATGCGAGGACCACCTGTATTCATTTCAAAGCAAATCTCAACAGGGGAAGGAAAGGATACGGACGCTGACGGCTTCGGCATCTGTGCTGAGAAGGCGCTTGACTTCTTTCTCTACATCCGGAGACTCGATATACTGCGCCAGAGAAAAGAAAAAGAAAAAGAGAGAGAGAGAGAGACTGTATACTCCCAGCTGAGTTTCTGCCTCGGAGAGTTTATTTCTCTCCTAACTTTCTGCTCTGGGCACATCCGTGTAGCCACCAACCTCAACTTTCACGTTCACTTCTGCACAATTATGCAGGGATTCATACTAGCATTCTGTCCTCCCAGGTTCAGAGGGCACAAAAACGAGTAGCATGCTCCAAAGGTGCTTTTTTTTTTAAATTTTCTTCCAAGGGACAATTGGACTTTCTTGATTTTTTTTTCTTTGAAGACGTTTCGCTTCTCATCCAAGAAGCTTCTTCAGCTCGGACTGGAAGGATTGATACTCCTTGAGGATTGATCAATCCTTGAGGAAGGATCAATACTGACAGCTGGTCTGGTTTTGTTTCCCCAATTTCAACAATTCCAAGAAGGCTCCACACCCATTTGCACTACTCAGTTGACCCCGAGGACACAGACAAACCTCAACTGCCCTCTAAAAAGGATGCAAATGACCAGCTGACTGCAAGAAGTATAAATCCTTCCATTCCCCACCATCCAGTCAGAGCTGAAGAAGCTTCTGGGAGGAGAAGCAAAACCTCTTCAAAAAAACCAAAAACAAACATAAAGTCCAGTTGCTTCTTGAAAAAAAGCACCTTTGGGACAACCATGACCTGGATGACGGATAATCTCCACAGACATTTAATAGCTTGCTGTTGATCTACCCCTACACCTTGTGTTCCTTTTTTGGGGGGGGGGAGGGGGGAGAGGAAGAGGGAGGGGGGGAGGGATGAGGAAAACTGGAGAAGATGGGAAACAGGGTGTCAATGCAGAATGACATCTTGGCTGCAAGACGAAGGGATGAAATCCTAAGAGCTTGGAGGTGAGACCAAACAGGTGTTCCCACCAAGAAGCAGCTACTCAGGTCATAGCTTCAGGGGACTTAATTGTCTATCTTTTAGAGTTGCACACGGGTCCCGAGAGGATGTGGAAGGCTGTGCTCAGCCACCATTCATCTTAAAAGCATCTCAAAGGGCGGGCGACCATCCGTCCTTTCAAGCATTTCCCTCATTCTCAAAGCAGAGGTTTTAAAACGTCCCACTTCAAATGAACTACCTAGAACGGCGTAAGAATAAGCCAAGATAACTGCCTATCCTCAACTCAAAATTGCCAATCGTGCTTTACGTTTTGACTCCAGCCTCCGTCAGCAAAAGATCTCGAAGGTTCACCTAGGTGACTCACCTTCTTCTTAGCTGTCTTCCGGAACCTCCTCTTCCGGACGTTCTTCAACGGGAGCGTAACTGCAAGAACGCAACAAATGAATTGGCGAAGGGGAGATGGAACAGGAGGGTGCAGCCAACAGGTCTTTGGGGACGTAGAAGAGATGCTAGCGTTCTGAACCCTAAATGGTCTCATCATCCTTCGTGATGAATGGGCTTCTGACCTAGGCTTCACAAAATCACGAAGCTGACTCCTCGTCCCGACAAACCCCCTTTTTATTAGGCTAATGTGAATTCCTATCATTCACATCCAGCAAAGTCCCGGCAAACAGTCTTTCCAGGGTGAATTACAACCACAGACCTTATCAGGTTTGGAGAGCTGCCAGGCCAATAGATCCCAAACACAACGCTGTACAAGAAAATACCTGGCAAGGAGAGTCACGAACAGATCTTCACACTAATTAAACGAACTAATTGTCTCCTGAAAACACCACTCCCATTTTGTTCTTAATTCCCTATGGGAAGGGCCATTCACCATCCACCTGTGCCTTTACACCCGAGTTGACCCTTGTTCCTTAATTGTTCCCTTCTCCTGGCAGCTCTGCGCATGTGTACACTGGGAACAGGCTCCAGCTGTTCTTCTGCCCCACTGATCTCCGAATCCAAAGGCAGCTGATAACTGTTGGACAGACCTGGCCCCATCTCTGCCTCTGGTGCAGAGCCCTCGTCAGAGCCTTCCCCAGACTCCAGGACTGGCCCATGTCCCACCCCAACCTCCTAACTGTCTGAGTCAGCCGCCAGCTCTGCTGGCCGCTGATGGGCCACACAACAAATGGTGAGGGCATGGAGGTAGGGGACAATGCACAAATCAAGGCTCCCTAGTGTAGACGAATGACTCAATAACTACTCACTGCCATGGTTCCAGATGAACTTCTTCTCCCGGTCCTTATCCTTCTTCTTGTTGGCTCTAGCATCAGTGCTCACGGACGGCTCCTCCAAAGGAGGGTAGAGTTCTCCATCCACAGTGCACACAAGCATCTGAACTCCGCGACAGAATAAAAGAATAATTGACTGTTTTCTCAGAGAGAAATCAGAAGGAATAAAAGCCCAAGGAAAGTACCGTTAGATCAAACTAGAGGCTTCCTTAGTTCAGTCTTGTCAGAGCGGTCAATCAAGTAGATATCAGTCATAAATTTCCCCCTAACACAACTGGACATCATCATCAGGTCTCGGTGCTTCAGCAGAGTAAGGAAAATACTTAGGGATGATTCACATCCTGCCCAGCGTCTTTTTTCACTTTTACTGTCAGAAAGATACAGAAGTATAGCCAGCTGGACAAACAGGTTTAAAAACAGCTTTTATCCATGGGCTGTCAGACTCCTAAATACTACAATCACTCCATGTCTACATGGAAACATGACTGGTTTCTCCTTAATTACTTGTATAAGGACCACTTTCTATATTATTCATGTTGTATTGTAGTTTTGTTTTGGATAGCACCAGCAGAAGCAAAAATCTGTTTCACTGAATATATGTACAATGACAATAAAGCTTATTATATACTTTATTCATTAAACATGAAACTCAGTTTATTATTATATTATTAAATTCGTAATATGAGCACAAATTGCTCAGTATTGGAGATGGACTCCAATATCTTCAGAGTGACTCTGAACCTTCATAGCTGGTTGCCTTTAAAAAAAAAAATCCATCAAGTTGTCTAATCCAGGGGTCACCGACCTTTTGGATCTCAGGGACCACCAAACTCATAATTTTAAATCCCGCAGACCAGAGACCCTGGGAAAATCCCCCAAAAAGTCTGCAGGAAAATTCTCCACCCCGTTTTCCTACCGATAGATCATTCTTTATTTGGGATCACAAGATATCATCTCCAGCTCCATTCTCAAGGGGAGAGAGAGAGAGAGAGAGAGAGGGAGAGAAAGAGAAGAGAGAGAGAGAGACTTTTGGCTTCATGCAAGGAAAGCAGCAGAAGCAGCAGAAGTCTTTCTTTCTCTCCCCCCAATTCCACCAGAAATGAGTCTTTGTGAGCCTTGTCATACTGGTCAGCCTCATGGAGCAAGGATGCCTTGCAGGGTCCCAAAGACTCATTTCTGGCGGAGTTTGGGGGAGAGAAAGAAAGACTTTTGCTGCTTTCCTTGCGTGCAGCCAAAAGCAGAAGTAGTAAGAAGCAGAAAGCAGCAGCCTGGTGGCCAAGCCAGGCATGTGGGGTGAGTGGGGCAAGTTCCCCCCCTCCACCCTTTCCCCCCTCCCCTCACTACCTTGTGTTGTTCACAATGCAAGTGACACAAGCCTTGTGTTCCCACGGGCCATGTGGGCGGCGCAGCCTTGTGTTCCCATGCACCATGGATTAATTGCTTTGGGGGGGACATTTCTCTGCGGACCACCAACATTTTCTCATGGACCACCAGTGGTCCCCGACCCACTGGTTAGCGACCACTGGTCTAATCTTTTCAAGGCTTCTAAGCTTCTATCAATCCAGAACTAATGGGGTTTTAAGTTCCAGGATGGCAGTTTATTAGAAGTCCTGCACCCTCAGAGAACTAAGATCAACTATATTCCATAACTATTTGTGGCATGGGAAAATAATAATAATAATACAGGTTTAAGAGGAGGAGTTGAAAATGAAGATATGCCTACGAAAAGGAAGAGCAAAATCATCCTGGCTTCTCTTTCTGATCGGTGCGGGGCATCTTACCTGGCAAATGTCAGCCGTCTTATAGAAGGTCTTCTTGTCGATGGTTTTCAAGCTTTCCATGATGCAAGGCAAGTCCACCAACTTGGCAGCTAAGGGGACCTGATCTACTCGCACAATTCCGTGACGGCCATCCGCTGCAGGGACAGGGAAACGGGAGAATTGCTTATGTTAGGAGTGTCAAAACCTCCAGGCCCCACAGGCTGGATCCAGCCCACGGAGGTGCTTAGACCTGGGAAGGAATTAAAAGCACCTGATGTTCTCCCCTTACCATGCAATTCAATTGTGAGCCTGTCCTTCAAGTTGACGCTCCCAGACTGAACAGCCCTCCGCACCGTAGAAGCATATTCCTGAGCAGAGAGGCAGCAAGAACCAGGGTCAAAGGGGAAGTTGGTAGGTGATGTTAGCATTTGATGTTAGCCCATTTGGGTTGGACTAGAAGACCTCCAAGGTCCCTTCCAACGTTCTGTTCTATTCTATTCTTCAAATTCTAAATTCTATTCTATTCTAAATTCTATTTCCATTGCATTCTTGTATTCTGTTCTATTCTATTCTTATTCCATTCCATTCCACTCCACTCCACTGTACTCTACTCCTGTTCTGTTCTATTCTACTCTATTCTGTTCCTTCTCTATTCTATCCTATTCTATTCTATTCTATTCCTACTGCATTCTATTCTATTCTATTCTATTCTATTCCCTGCTTCTTATTCTATTCTATTCTATTCCATTCCATATTTTCTATTCTATTCCATTCCATTCCATTCCATTCCATTCCATTCCATTCCATTCTATCTCTATTCTATTCTATTCTATTCTATTCTATTCTATTCTATTCTATTCTATTCTTCTATTCCTATCCTACCCATCGGGTCACTTACCGAAGGCAGCCGCAAAATAAACTGGCTCTCTAACTCATGGGGGATGTTATCCTTGTTCTTGGTCATCTTCACTTCTTAGAGGTTGAGAAAACAAGAAAAAAACAAACAAAAAAAAGGCAGCGTTACCCAACCATTGAACAAGCGCTTATTCTGAGCACTGCTACGCAACTTGCTGAGCTGCTAGCAATCACACAACAGCGGTGCATACAAATGTATTCCACCCGGAAGCACCTTATCGGAGAGAACCAAGGCATTGCACCATGAGTTGAAGCTAATGTCTATGGGGATCATCCAGGTCATCTTTATACCAAAGAGACTTTTCCAAAAAGCAACTGGACTTTGTTTTTTCCTTGAGAAGGATGAGAAGCGAAACATTTTCAAGAAAAGAAGGGGGAGGGGGAGAGATCTCTTACCGGAAAATCATCATGGAATTAAATCAGGCTTAAAATATTAGATGGGGAATCAGAAAGATTTCAGTTTGAGAGTTCATGGAGATTCGGTCATTGAGGTTACAGTTGTTCCAAAGATGTTTTTTTCAAAAGGCAACTGGACTTTCCTTTGAAGATGTTTCACTTCTCATCCAAGAAGCTTCTTCAATTCTGACACCTGAAATCTACCTGGGCTCCAGTTGCTACGGTTGAGAAACCCGGCTCTATGGTCAAATTCACAGAGGAAATGTTGAAAGTCAGAACTGAAGAAGCTTCCTGGATGAGAAGCAAAACGTCTTCGAGGAAAAACAAAGGCCAGCTTCTTTTGGAAAAACGCCTTTGGGACATGTGTTGGAGCCCCAATCTCAGCCTTGGAGGCCAAGGATGCAACAGACACCATTAAATTTGAAAGCAGAATGGTTTTCCTTAGCTCATCACATCCGCACTGCTTATTTCCATTATTTAACGAAAGACGATGATGTTGCTTCTACTTAAAAACCAGAATACATTAATGTTTGCATAGCTGCAAAAAAAGGGCAGCTTTTCTGTCTTTTCCCCTCCCTGCCCATCTTAAGCGCCTTCTTAGCTCTTTCAAATAAGGTGCCACCGGGAAGCCAGAAATACAGATTAAGAAGAACACAGCAGAACTCAGTGATTCGAGGCATGAAAATGCAGACATTGGAGATCCTGCCACTTGCTGGAGCACGTAAAGGAAGGAAAGATCCGCTCCCGTTAAATTAGTACTGTAACAAGAATGATTCGATCCACGTTCGTAAAAGCTGGCAAAGCACAGCCATCACACACACATACACCCCAGGAAACTGCAGTTCTCCTGGGCATCATTTCGGGAAAGCAGAATAGCTTTTGTGCCCAAATCAAGCACATCTGAGAGAGAAAGAGAGAGAGAGAGAGAGGAGAGAGAGAGAGAGAGAGAGAGAGAGAGGGGAGAGGGAGGGAGGGAGGGAGAGAGAGAGAGAGAGGGAGATAAAGACCCACCACCAGAGAAACGTAAAACACATTACTTGCAGACGCCATTCCTCCTCTTCTTGCTCCACACAAAGGTTTATAAAAACTTGTATCATTCAAAAATACTAAACGTAAATGCAAAGAAAGAGAGTTAAAAAAACAATAATAACCAGGGAGTATCTGCCGATCAAAGTAATTACTATGTAAGGGGGTTTATTAGACACATCATATAGTCCATCCGCAGCAAAATTTAAGAAGCACAATCCCAGATGCTGTTTTCAATCTCTAAATAACCAGAGTTTGGGACAGGAAGGCAGTTTTGCAAACTAGACCCCAAAAGCAGGCAAAACTCTTGAAACGTCTTTGGGGAAAGGAGGCAAAAACATTTAAGTTACATGGACTCTCCTGCATCAAACCTTGAAATCGACCAGGTTTGGTTAAACCATGATTTAGAAGTAAGCCAGGACTGCCTGGACACAGACATACGCCAACTAGGAGGACCAGTGTCAGGGCCATGTGCCTGAGACCAAAAGAGCTCCTTTGCCTCCTCCCCCCACAAGCACCTCAGCATTTGACTCAGTATTTCCCAT